TCTCCCCCCCTCCTTCATTATACGTGCCCTCTTGCCCCCCCTCTCCTGCCTATAGCAGGCACACCCACCCCAGTTTTTTGTAATGTGAACATATGTCCATGCTAAGAAAGTTCCTCTCTCCTATCTTCCTCCAGTTGCCATGCTCATTCCATTTGCGTGGGGGGGGGGGGGAAGGAGATGTCAAAGGTGTGGAAGGGGAGGAGGAGGACATGGCGGTGGTTGTGGTCGTGGTGTACTGACTCTCAGCAGTTTCGAGGCTGCAGAAGTGGATGAAACAAGAAGATCAAGGTTGAGAAGAACAGAGAGGAGCAGAGGGATGGGGAAAATCTTGACTTTCTGTGAGCAGGGGAGAGCCAAGACATGCGCGAGATCTTGTTACGATGCTTGAAGGATCTCGCAGAGGTCTACAGACAGCAGCAGCAGCAGCAGCAGCAGCAGCAGCAGCAGCAGGGGCAGGGGCAGCAACAACAGCAACAACAACAACAACAGCAACAAGAGCAGCAGCAGCAGCAGCAGCAGCAGGAGATATCAACTCTCAAGTCGAGTCTGGTCCGAGCACAGAAAGATTTCTTCTACTGCATGTGGAGGCGAATGGACGAGGAGAACGTGAGGAGTCGCTGCCCTCCTCCCCTCCCCTGACCTGATCGCAGGAGATACTCCACGTGCTCCGATCGCTCTCGTGCTTATGCAGCGGCAGCAGCCTCGAGCTCCGAGTCGATCGCCTCCTTCGTCGCACTTGCTCCCTCCTCCTTGCACGCCAGAACGCTTCCCTCCCAGTCTCCCGCTCTGCGGAGGGAGCAGGAGCAGGAGCAGGAGCAGGAGCAGGAGCAGGAGCAGGAGCAGGAGCAGGAAGAGGTTGGATCCAGAACTGTGTGTCGGAGGCAGCAGCTCGGGTTGAGCTGGTGATGTCTTTGTTCTTGTGCTCGGCTCGTTCACTGGTTGCTCAGGCGAACTTGAGACTGCAGCAGTTGCGTGGGATGGCGAACGAACGAGATATAAGGAGCGAAGAGGTGGAATGCAGTGACAGGAGCAGGAGAGAAGGAGGAGGAGGAGATGTCGACGTCTCCTTCTTTGATGACTTCAGTTCGACTTTTCTGCTTCACTTTGACCCCCTGCGGGCGGAGCTCTTGGCCTCCCTCGCCTGTCTTGATGCTGCTCACCGCGCACTCGCTCCTGCCCGGCAAGGCGACGAGCCACCGGGGAAGAGGAGGAGGAGGAGGTGCGAGGAGGAGCAACTACAGACTGAGGACGTGATGGAGGAAGTTGAGGAGGGAGAGACAGCAGCTAGCACGGAGGAAGAGATCATTTTCTGTGCGAGCTCAAGTCGGGAAGAGGAAGGCAGTGAGGAGGAGGAGAGCTTGAGCCTTGGGGAACAGACGTGCGGGCCCTTGACCCCGCAAGTGATGACGGAGCTCTTCCTCAACATCAGGACGAGGAGGTCTACGGGAAGAACGAGCGCATCGGTGAGTCTGTGCATGTTCAAGCAGAATTTCTCTTATGACGATACAGAGAAAACAGAAAGATACAGCAAGACAACAAGATACAGCAACACTTGCAGCAAGACAAGAACACGATGCTCGACAAGAGCCAAGAGAGAAACAGCAAGTCGATGATATTGAACAGGAACAACTTCGATCCCAGCTGGTGTATCAGCAGGAGCTCGAGAGAGTTTTGAGCCTCAGGGCAACCAGGCACGAAGAGAATTTCGATGCGTGAACATGAATTCAGACAGATGAATTTGAATTTCCAACCAATGAAACTGAATCAAAAGGTAATTCAAGGTTTCACTTGGATTTCAATCGTTCTTCTCTAATGTCAGATCTCTTTCCAACTCCTTCGGTGAACGAGGCTGCGGCCAACTTCCTCCGTTCTGCAACTTTAAATGTCAATTCACTTATCTCCTCCCTCCCTCCCTCCCTCCCTCCCTCCCTCCCTCCCTCCCTCCCTCCCTCCCTCCCTCCCTCCCTCCCTCCATCCATCCATCCATCCATCCCTTCATCCATCCATCCATCCATCCATCCATCCATCCATCCATCCCTGCTTGCCATCCACTCCCCGCCTTGTCTCGCCCTTCCTGCCCCTTCCTCTCCCCTGCTCCCTCCCTCCTCGCCCTTCTTTTCTCTTGCTCTCCCTCCTTTCCTCCTCTACCTGCATGTCCCAGTGCTCTGGGGTGACAACTGCATGCTCGGGTCCCCATGCTCCGCGCTTAAGAACGACCTTGACCACCTCATCGTTGGTTCGCTTTACAGCTGAAGGCGAGTCAGCAGGGGGAGAGCAGGCAGCATGGGCTCACTTAGCACGATCTTGGACCCGCGCTGTCCCGACACGATGTTCTTAATCTCATCCGACGACTTGCCACACGTGGAAAAGCCGTCGATCTTCGCGAACCAGTCATTCCCCTCAAACTCCCCCAATCTTCTTCCCTCCTCCTTCTCCCTCCCCCTCCTTCCCCTTCCCCCTCCCCCTCCTTCCCTTCTCCCTCCCCTCCTTCCCCTTCTCCCTCCCCCTCCTTCTCACCTCTAAGATCTTGTCTCCGATCGCTATGGCACCGGAGAGAGCGGCAGACATTCCGGGCACCAGGTCGATCACCCTCACCTCCTCCTCATGAACGTTCAGCTTGGAGCTCGTGATGACTTTTGTCTCGAGCCCCATCCCAACTCCGCAAGGATTCCTGGTACAATGTCATCCCTTCTCCTTCTCCTCCTCCTCATCTCGTCCTCCTCATCCTCCTCGTCCTGCTCTTACGGCAAGGAGTAGAAGTGTTCCTTCTCCTCTCCTCATCTCGTCCTCCTCCTCCTCCTCGTCCTGCTCTTACGGCAAGGAGTAGAAGTGTTCGATCTCAGTCTTGAATCGGTTTCGCTCTTCAGACAGGAGAAAGATCTTCTCCTCAAGCTTACTCTCCATGAGAGCATACTTCGTCACAATCTGCAACCTGGCGTTCTGAACACAAAGTCAAGACCTCTGCTGTCAACATCCTCCCACGTCCTTACCCTGAAGAGAATCAGCTCCTCCTTCAGCTCGTCGACCTGACTTTGCAGCAGCTCGTTCTCTGGACGGAGGAGAGACACAGTCTCATCAAGGTCTTTCACTGTCTTCTGGCTGGCAAGCAGAGCAGCCTTGAGACGCTTGACTTCGTCCTGCATGTCTGTTCCATCTTGTACTTGGTCTTTCAGGTCTGCGTTGATTTTCATCTGTTCTTGCAACTGTTTTGAGAGATTCTGGGAAAGTTGTCAGCCACGACGAAGCACAAAGGATTTGCAACACCTTCAATTGTTTGCTCAACTCATCCATCTCCTCCTGCAGCTTCTTCATCCGTGTGCTGTGCTCTGCCTCCTGACTCTCGAGCTTGCTTCGCAGGTCCTGTGATGTGCATTACTCCCTCCCTCCTCTCCGGCCCATGCCCTCCCTTCCCGGTCAGACTCGATCTCTTACCTGCTTGTCTTGGGTCAGCCGCTCCCCCTTGTTCTTCAGCTCCTCGCTAAGAGCCCTCTGCTCTCCGAGCGCGTGCTTTGTGCTCTCCAGCTCGTCCTTGGCGGCCTTGAGCTGCTGCTCAAGCTTCTGCTGGACCTGCTTGGCCCGATCCTCGACAGCTTGTATCTTCTGGTTGCTGTCTGAGCCCAGCTTCTCGAGCTTACCCTCCAGCGCCTGCCAAGTCTCGTCACAGGCCGGAGAGGAGCGAGCATGGGTCCAAGACCTTCTGCTCTGCCTGCAGCCGATCGGCCTCGGCGCGAACGGAGTGGAGGGAGGAGACGAGCTCACTCTTCTCCTTGTGTGCAATACGGAGCTCCTGGGCTTGCTTGGAGAGGCTGGCGTTGAGATCCGAGACCTGGCGCATGTACGCTTCAAGCTCCTCCTGCAGCTTCTTCATCCGTGTGCTGTGCTCTGCCTCCTGACTCTCGAGCTTGCTTCGCAGGTCCTGTGATGTGCATTACTCCCTCCCTCCTCTCCGGCCCATGCCCTCCCTTCCCGGTCAGACTCGATCTCTTACCTGCTTGTCTTGGGTCAGCCGCTCCCCCTTGTTCTTCAGCTCCTCGCTAAGAGCCCTCTGCTCTCCGAGCGCGTGCTTTGTGCTCTCCAGCTCGTCCTTGGCGGCCTTGAGCTGCTGCTCAAGCTTCTGCTGGACCTGCTTGGCCCGATCCTCGACAGCTTGTATCTTCTGGTTGCTGTCTGAGCCCAGCTTCTCGAGCTTACCCTCCAGCGCCTGCCAAGTCTCGTCACAGGCCGGAGAGGAGCGAGCATGGGTCCAAGACCTTCTGCTCTGCCTGCAGCCGATCGGCCTCGGCGCGAACGGAGTTGAGGGAGGAGACGAAACCGGGGCTCAATGTAAGAATACGGAGCTCCTGGGCTTGCTTGGAGAGGCTGGCGTTGAGATCCGAGACCTGGCGCATGTACGCTTCAAGCTCCTCCTGCAGCTTCTTCATCCGTGTGCTGTGCTCTGCCTCCTGACTCTCGAGCTTGCTTCGCAGGTCCTGTGATGTGCATTACTCCCTCCCTCCTCTCCGGCCCATGCCCTCCCTTCCCGGTCAGACTCGATCTCTTACCTGCTTGTCTTGGGTCAGCCGCTCCCCCTTGATCTTCAGCTCCTCGCTAAGAGCCCTCTGCTCTCCGAGCGCGTGCTTTGTGCTCTCCAGCTCGTCCTTGGCGGCCTTGAGCTGCTGCTCAAGCTTCTGCTGGACCTGCTTGGCCCGATCCTCGACAGCTTGTATCTTCTGGTTGCTGTCTGAGCCCAGCTTCTCGAGCTTACCCTCCAGCGCCTGCCAAGTCTCGTCACAGGCCGGAGAGGAGCGAGCATGGGTCCAAGACCTTCTGCTCTGCCTGCAGCCGATCGGCCTCGGCGCGAACGGAGTTGAGGGAGGAGACGAGCTCACTCTTCTCCTTGTGTGCAATACGGAGCTCCTGGGCTTGCTTGGAGAGGCTGGCGTTGAGATCCGAGACCTGGCGCATGTACGCTTCAAGCTCCTGTCTCAATTGCTGGATAGTCGACTGGTTCTCAGTCTTGAGAGCTGAGAATGAATCTTTGAGCTCCTGAAGGCGAGGGCGTTAAAGCTTCGAGCAGGGAAAAAGACAAGATACCTTCATGTCTTTTGCGGCTGCTTTTAGCTCTCCTTCCAGAGATGTGCATTTCCCCTTCAAGGTTTGCACATCACTCTTGAGTCGGCCGTTCTCAATTTCTTTAGTTTCGAGCACTTCTGATTTTGTCCGAAGCTCCAAATTATAAGTTTCAAGCTTTTCGTTGAAATTCTTGTGAATTTGAGCGATTTGCACCTCCTTTTCGTTCATTGCGTGAATTTGCATTTTCTCATACGACGCAATGGTTTCAGAGTGTTGCTTCTTTTGCTCAGCGATGAGATCGCTATACTGTCGCTTGTACTCATCGATCGTTGCTTGAAAGTTTTTAGCTGCCTCAGTCATCTGTTGCATATGATCCTTCTTGGACGTTTCTATCTGGTGCATAAAACGGTCTGTGGTCTGCTGCATATCGGCTTCATGTTTCCTCGACAAAGATTCAACGTACTGCTGGTGGTGAGCACTCATTTCTGACACGAAGGCATCATGCCTCTTGGTTTTCTCGCTCATCTCAGAGTAATGCTGCTTTCTTTCATTGGTCAGAAGCTGTTCCAAATCGGATCGAATCTTTATCTTCTCCATATCCAGCGTTTCCACGGTCTTCTGCAGGATTTGGATTTGATCTGTCATGTGCCAGTAGATCGGAGATCCTCGGATGAGGCTGACTACAAACTCTCTGTCGTCTCCTTGTCGTATGAAGGTCAGGCTCACCGAAGATCCGTAAGGACCTAGAATCCTCTCCGCAAGCCCCTCCGTGCTGACTCCGAAAGTGGGCTGTCCTTGAACCCTGGTGATTCTATCTCCTACTTGGATCTGTCCGTCCCGGAAGGCAGACCCATCAGCCGTCACAGCTGCAACCACGGGATGGTCGTTTGTATCGTCTTTGACAAAGACAAGTCCAACCCCAGCCTGCCCGAGGTCGTGATCCTTCACCCTCAGCATGCTGCTCCTGCGCGTTTGCGCTGTTTCCAGGGAGTTTCTCTTCCCCCTGACGTCACCCTGGTATCGGCGACCGGAGTCGTATACTCCCCTGGGAGAGATGCTGTTGTAGCTGGGAGAGAACCCTCCTGTAGGTGTGTCCCCCTGGGGAACCCCCTCCCTGGAGACGTTGATGTACTCCGTGGCAAGGTGAGGAGGCCCTGACGTTTGCATCTGCATCAAAATGTCACATGCCGAAATCAATCTCTGGTTGCCATTTCGAATCAAATCTTGCGTTGTAACATACTTCAGTGCAACTTTTTAAAAATACACGGTTCTTCAATCTATGGGCTAGAACTTTGTTGCAATTTTTTTCTTGAGCAGATTTCATATGAGTCCAATCCACACTTGAATTTCCTCTTCGTTTGTGTGTGTATTCATCTGCCTTCCTGCATGCATGATCCCTAGCTCTCGTCCAACCTTTGTCCTTCAACATAACTTTGTAGAAACAATCATCACAGTTTCCTTCGCAATCAGAAACACTTATTCTCCATCTTGTTTCAAACATTAATACTTTCATCACCTTGACTCCTGCTGACAATTATATCTTATATCTACACAGCCAGAGGCTTTTCTCCTTGATCTTTCTGCCCGCTTTCATCTACTCGCACTATGGCGCCGTTGCTGCTCCAGCCCATGCTTTGTCTCGTCCTTCCATCCCTTCTAGCTTGCCTTGCCGATATGCCTTGCACCCTCTACCTTGTTACCATCGTCCTCGACTACCTTGCCCTTGACTCCTCTTCTTCTCGTCCTCCTCCTCCTCCTCCTCCTCCTCCTCGTTCTACTACCATTTTCACCCTCCTTGCTGCTTCTCCGATTCTCCCGATCCTCTCCCCACCTCCTTTTAGAGAGATCTTCCGATGTGGGTGGTCATATTGGGTAGGTGGGGGTGGTAGATCTGCGCGGGGATTCTGTTTCGTTGACTTGCTGGGGTGGGTGAAAATTTCAAATGAAATATCTTATTCAAAAACTCAAGGCATTATTTGAAATTTCGCACGAAAATAGTTCCATATATTTCAAGTCTAAAATGCAGGATTCTTGTGTGCAGGGTGGTGGTGCATTGTCTGCCCAGAGGCATCTCATGGAGGGGTGGGGGCTGTCGGAGTTTACAAGGCCAAGGGGTGGGACAAAGTTCAGCACTGCAAGTTTCGTACTGCACTGCAGGCAAGGGGTGGGGTACTTTGATTACCGACGTGGGTCGGAGGGAGGGGTGGACTAGCGTAAAGGTAGAGCTGGAGGGTCGGGTCCATAGGGTATCTGTCTCGGAACGGTAGTAACACATGGGGATGAGGGGGTAGTGCAGCCGGGTATGATCGCAAACCCCTCATGTGGACCCCATCTAGGAAATGAACCCCACCCCATGAGAATTACACCCCCACCTCCTGACCTCACAACCCTAAAAATTCCTTCATAACTGTACTTACCACCCTGCTACTGAGACCCTCTGAATGTTCATGACCCCATCCTCTATCCTGAGTACCCCAACTTCATCACAATCACAAGGTACCCCCTGGTACCAGAATCCCATCTTCACCCACCCACACAACACAACACGCCTTGTGTCCTGAAGCGAACACCGGCTTCCATGTCGTCTCGCTCTCCCTCCCCTCCTCCTCCGGCGCTGGCAGCTTCGGTTCCAACTTACTGGGACCAGGCCTCTCCCCGTCCTGATCTCTCCTCTCCTCCTCCGTCTCCTCCCATCCGTCACTCCCCTGTCCACGCCTTGCTCTCTCTTTCCCCGCCAACCGCTCCTGCGAGAGTTGCTTGGCGTCCCTTCCCCGACAGTTATCCTCAGTCGGCCTCGTCTTCGCCTATCACTCTGAACATGGCGAGGACTCTCGTTTCGCCGTCTCAGCTCCTCGCCCTCAACAAGCTCATTGCCCATGCAGCGCGCAGGCATGAGCTGGACCCTGATCGGCCAGTGGATCTGCTCTCGCCACAGCACTCAAAGCTCATCACAGCAGAAGAAGGGGACATGCGTGTGTTGAACGCGGTAAGCTCTACACTGAGATGAAATGCATGTCTCCTCACACATCCAAGTTGATGGATCAGGACGGCGACGGACTCGTTTCTGATTGTGACAATCAGCTGTCAAAATTCTTTTGGGGTCAGCAAATTCCACCTGAAGGAAGGATGAAATGACGTGAGATGATGTAGGAAACAGACCGTGTAATGAAAGACTGGAGGATCTCTTCTCCTGGTATCAACATCAACACAAACAGACACCGATCCATTCCCTGCTCTCTTCAATCATTACGACGACGTCAGAAAGGCTGTTGAAGGTATGATTGTGTGCATTCGGATTCCAGTGACGGTGCTGCTTCAGTTGTGTCGCGTGTTGCAAGTAGAGGTGGAGAAGTCGGACATGTTGGTGCCATCAGAGCTAGACTTGCGCGACTACCAGGAGTTCCTTGAGGTGAGCCCCCTCAGCCGCTCTTCTGATGTTGACCCGCTGGGATATGCAGGAGTGGGAACTTGACAAGCTCTTTGCCATCGCGTTTGCTAACCAAACAGTCAGACGCTGGGTAGGTATGATGTGCCTCGTCGATACAGAACCTTGTCAAAGCATCAACATGCACAAGCCTGAGCAGCAAAAACCTGTAGAGCTCCCTGACAACGAGCTAGGGGAAGTTGAAAACCTTGAGGAATACTGCATTGAGGTACTCTCTTCCTTGTGTACTGCTATGAGGGTAGCATACTCATGTGACTACGCAACAAGGTTCGCAACAAGCATCAGCGAGTGGCAATGGAGTTGAAGAGGTTGAAAGAGCAAAGAGCATTTGCGGCGTGTGGCTCATCCCCCATTGTAACATCACAAGTATTCTTGACACTAACTCCACTCTCGCATTTCGTTCCCTGAGATGTGAACAGGACCTGAAAGAGCATGAAGCTTCTGTACATAGTTTGCTCTTGTGCCTCAAATACAACAATGGTCGAGCACAAAGTAATCATGATGTCAAAACTCACCGTCTGCCAACAGATAGAACCGCTGTGGGAGTGAGGGAAGAGTGCTTTGCCGATGCTGAGCAGTATAACGCAGAGAGAAGTATCAGAGTGCAGCTTGGCTGATCTCCAGTCTCAGTGACTTGCATCGGGCAGAGCAAGAGATCGCAAGGAGGCTGCAGGAGATGCATGAGGAGTCCAACTCCTCCCTGGAGAGGATGTTGCGGAAAGAATCTCCCAGCCCCGACGACCCGCAGGCAGAGCATGAGATCACCAAGTCTGTCATGAAATTTGCTGGGTCGCTGCTGCAATTCTTCTCCCTTGACGACAAGCAGAAGAAAGAAAATCAGCCGAGGACTCAGAAACAGGCCGCTGCTCCCGAAGATCCAGGTCGTGAGAGGCTACGCAAAGATTTCTTTGACAACGAGTTTCGGTCTTCTAAGGTGTTAGATGTTTCGAATCATTACGGCACGATCTGACTCTCCTTTGATGTGCAGACTCAAGTGGAAGGCTAGAGGAACACTTCAACATGAAAGAATGATTCATAAACAACAGCGCAAAATTCCCTTCCCAATGAGAGAGGAATGTGTGAAGCACAAGAAAAAATGGGGAAGAATAAGAAAGTGAAGGTAAGAACAAAGAAGAGAGGAGACGAGGGAGTGGAGGTGAGAGGCTTCAATCAGACCCTGAGGTTCTTCAGAGGAGAGCTTGTGCCTTACAGGGCAAGAGAATGAGTCATGGGATCAGAGAGAGAGAGGTACCTTTAAAGATGGAGGGGAAGGCGTTGGAAGTGCTTAGCCTACAAGTCAAGTCAGCAAGGGGCGAGCAAGCTTGCAAGAGTGTACGAGGAGTATGTCGGAGGGACGATGATCGGTGTTCCCATGTGAACTTCTTTTTCCAACCCCTTGCTGCTTGTAGTGATTGCCGATGATCGTCTCGCCTCCTTGGATTTCATCCCCTGCCATCCCTTGACATCGCAGACTCTCGTCTCAGCTCGCTCGCATTACCATGCTGCCTGTAGCACCGGGTTTTCTGTCTCTGTCCGCACTTCTTCCCGTTTGCTGCATGTCACTCAGTGAAGTCTTAGCAGATAAGACGACTGCACCAAGGGTTCCTGAACAAGCGAGCAGTCAAACCCATATGTCCACCAATATTCATCAACTCACACCTTGGAATGAGTTTGATCGGTTGAAAGTGAAAGTTTCAACCCGTATCTTGATTGTCTTCTTTCGAACTGGAATGTTTCAAACTTCAGCCGAATGACATATCGACAGCGAGAGAATGAATGCTTTACATCTGAGATAGATTTCAAGATCGAAGAATTCTCTATAATCTCTTCTGTCAGATGGTGGGAATCAATCTAGTCCCGGGCAAACCTCGAGCCAGGTGAGCTGGAATGAGAGTATCTCTCGAGCCTTGGGGCCCGTCTCGTCTGCCGATGCCTGCGAGTTGACTGCAGCAAGTCGCTATGGTCACACCGATGCTGCAGACGAGAGTCGCTTGCCTTCTCCCCTTGGAGGGATAGATGGTGGAGGAGAGGTTCTTCTGGTACGAGCTTTTCAGGTTGTCCGGCAGCTTAATCTCTCCCTCCTGCTGTTTCTGTCGCAGCCAATTGAAGCTCGCTTGACCTGCAGCTGCGGCACCCCCCTCCTCCGTCACTTTCATCGAGCTCCTTTGCGAGCCACCCGACGTGTCCCAAACCACCTTCTTTGCAGACGATTTCAAAACCAAAACATCAAAGAAGCTCAATGCGCATTTCTCGCAAAGAATCACCACCCGTCCGCATGGGAATTGAAGCTTGCCCATCGTCTTGGTCTTGCACTTCTCACAAAAATTGGTCGATATGGATCCCTTCACAGGAGAGCTTGATCTCCCTTGAAACATGGACATCTTGGTTAGACTAGACAACGAGACTTGAGCTCTACTGTCCGGATGGTATGCCATAGACTGCATCGATCGCAACCCTAACATGCTGCATGAAGTCTTACATCGGTTGCTGACCAGATAGAATGCTCCACAAATTCATAACTCAGATAAACGTTCCGACCTGACCTTCGTCGAGCACTAAATTCGGATGTACGTTCCTGATGGACTGTCTGCACTTTACATAATGACTGCAGGAGAATGTCAGAAAGAAGATAGCTGTGCTCGTTCCCTTCCTCTTGTCCCTAACCCATTGAAGCACTTCTTTATGGATTCCTTGAAACAACCGGAGCATATTACATCACCTCCTCTATCTCGACACGCATCCTTCATCATCGGATCATCTCATGCTCTGCCATTCGCTTGCAACCCCATCTCGATGTTTCTCCTGCTCCCGCTCTCCCTTCTCCTGCACTTCATACTCCCTTCCTCCTTACAACCATGTCTGCCCCTGCTGTCATCGCTATGGCAGTAACGCTCATCGACCACCCCTGCCCTCTACCACCACCCTGTCGACCCTCCGCCTTCACCCCAGTCGGACCTTGGAGCTATATGCTGAGGGGGTAGTATGGTGGGTGAAAAAAGAGGTGGGGGTACCCACATCTTTTGAAGTGACTTGATTGATTGCCCTCGTACTGATTTAGGCTTAACTTTGAGTAACAGTAAAGGGCCCCCCCGGAGCCGGGGGCCGGTGAAACACTCCGAGGCTCGCCGTCGGCTCGGACTCCAAGTCGGACTCCCCGACTCAGTCCGAGTCCGGGACCCGGCGCGCCGCCCGGCCGTCGGAGCCCGGGCGCTGGCCGCCAGGCTTCAGCGCCTGCCACAGTGCCCCGTGACGGAGTACAAGCAAGTTTGTTCAAGTCAGACTTGTACGCCGTGACGGTCACAATCATATGATGCCACGCGGCCGCCCGTATGAAGTACCGGGCGGCCCGGCCTCGGATGCCGACTCGGAGTCACGCGTCACTCAGCCGCAGTGACTGAGTACACTGAGGAGAGTCAGGAGGCCGCCCGGGCTTGACCCTCGCCGGGGCCTGACACTATCGCACACTGTGGCAGGCCAAACGGCCGCAGAAGACTCGGACTCTTTAAAAGACAGCGAGAACCAAACCCAATCTTGCCGACTGCTGTCTCCCAAACTTATTTGATACCTTCAATTACTACGCGCTGTGGCCGCCGCCGAAGGAATGAGACGCCGCATGATACCGGAATGCACCCGCGATGATGGCAGCGTAGGACACTGAGGGAGGCCCGGCCTTGAGCTGACGAAAGATCCTGGACCGGACTCCGGGATGCGTTTGCAAGTCGGATCACCTGAGACGTGTTAAAATCACTGACTCGCCATTTACGAGGTGGTGGGGTATCGGCAGTTATGATTGTTGGAGCTGGAACTATGAGACTCAGGTGGCAGCAGTGCAGCGAACCGGGGGGGCTCATCTTACAGGGGTAGTCGCATACCATTGGGGGTGGGGGTGTACAGGGGGTCATCCTTTGGTGTCGAGGACCCTCGAAATTCCATTCAAATCACGCGTGAATCCATGATGATGGTGGGTAGGGGTACTCCTTGACCGGGTGGTCTCAGCGGGCGGATCACAATCTGTCGACATCGGTGGTTGGGAAGGACGCACAGGGGTAGGGTCCTTCTACTTCTCTTCGTGAAGAGGGGTGGTGGTGATCGAAATGGGTGGGTAGAAGGAGGTAAGAAGAGGGGTACTGAGAGGGAGGCTAAGGTACAGTTTGAGGTCCTAGGGTCCTACTCAGAATCACTTAGAAGATGCCATAGGGGTCTTAGGAAACCTAGGGGAATACTGAGCATTTTTAAGACCAGATAGCACCTTCCTAGCTCCTTCCTAGGACCTCCTCTCTCTAAGGGAAACGTAACGTGACAGGGGGCGGCGCAATGGCGACAGTGGAGGAACAAGAGCGAAGGACGAGAGAAGAAAAAGGAGGGAAGGAAGGAGATTCTTTCACATGTCTGTGCTGACTTGACATCACTCTATCTTGGTGAGCTCTCCTATCGTGTTCTCAGTCGAGTCTGTTCCATAGAGGCCTTCCGACGATCGTTGCGCGAGTTTGTGGGAGCACGGGAGGATCAGGTGGTGCAGGTTGTTGCAAGTGAACCGCGGGGATGGATAGCACGTCAGTGATGTCTCAGTGCTGCAGGTCCTCTAGCTCACGCATGGATTCCTGCAAGTTTGCGAGCTGTGCTGTTCGCGGCGGAGGGAAAACAAACAAAGTCTCGCAAGGGGCAGGACAAGAAGTCTCCATGGCTTCGCGTTGCATTCAAGGAAAGGACAAGTCAAGATCAACCAAGGAAGCTGCTATGGAAATATTTCTGCAGTACGTCTTCGTGTCCTACAGTGACGAAGACGTTCGGTTCGACCTCCTCTGCCAGGTCAATTCCTTTTTCCACAAGTTTGCACAGCCGCTCCTTGTCCCATGGCTGAAGCGACAGCTGCCGGAGCATGCCGTCGTCGAGCCTTCCAAGGATGCAAATCCCTTTCTGGGGATCCTCTGCAAGGATCCTTCCTGGTGCTGCAGGAACGAGGAGGAGGGGATGTTTCCCTTCCTCATCGCTCCCGATCCCATCGTGAGCTCGTGTGGGACAGGAGCGATCTACCGGCTCGAGCTCAGGAAGGCAGCGAAGAGGGCGAGCACGGGATGCATCGAGGTTCCGATCCCGCGGGTAGCGAGGATGTACTCCTGGTACCGGCAGCTACAGCTGGAGGTGGGGTACTTCTCCCCTTGCAAGCACCTGCGGGGGGTGGTCAACTGCGCGGACAACAACTGCCTCCAGCATGATCGGGTATTCTGGTACATCGACCCCGACGGCAACCCTCGTCCTCCTCCCCTCGAGCCCCTTGAGCTGCCTCCCGCCTGGCTGCAGGGCCGCTACTCGATCCAGGAGGTGGGGACGGGGAGTCGCAAGTATCTCGAGCTCAAGTTCTTCCTGTACGAGATGTCGATGCGAGCACCCAAGGTGGAGGAGCTCAGCGGTACGAAGGATAGGGGGAGAGTGGGAGGGAGTCGTGAGGAGGGAGGAGGAGGAGGGTGAGGGAGGAGGAGGAGGGTGAGGAGGGAGGAGGAGGAGGAGGAGGAGGAGGGAGCAGAAGCGACGGTCCTCCAAAGGTTTGCCATGTAAATTCACAGATATGTTGATGTTGGAGTTTGTCTGCCCCCTGCGTTATGTGCGGGGAGAATTTTTCACTGTCTTGATGCGCAAGTTTGTTGTTGCATCGAATTGTGTTGAGATGAATAAACCATGATGCTCAGAAACTTCTCCCCTCCTGACTCTCCTCTCCTCTGAACTCTCCTCTCCTCTTAACTATCTTCTCTTCCTCTCTCTCTCCTTCTCTTACAGCAGCCCGCAGTCAGCGATGACAACCCGGTCCTGCACAAGGGATGAGGAGAGAGAGAGATGATAAGGGAGAGGCGAGGCGAGGGGAAAGTGGAGGGAGATAGGATGTGAAGTAGTTGATACGAGCAAGAACGAGAGCAGGAGCAGGAGCAGGAGCAGGAGCAGGAGCAGGAGCAGGAGCAGGAGCAGGAGCAACTGACAATACGACGGTGAAAAACATGGGAGACGAAAATGAGAGGAGGAGAGGAGGAGGAAACGAGGCGCGTGCAGGGTTGCTGAATAACCTTTGGCGTGCCATCGGGGCTGCTGCATGCAGCGATGGCTTCAAGAACATGCAGGCAATCATCCTGCTACGATGATGAGGATGGGGAGGATCGGGGGGAAAGGTAGACGGGAGGAGAGAGAGAAGGAGGAGGGAGAAGAGAGAAGGGAGGAGAGAGGAAAGGTAGGAGTTGGGAAGAGGACAGAGGGGAACTGAGGGGGGAGGAGAAAGAGGGGAGGAGTATCAGGACAGAAAGGAAAGGGGAGGACCGAGAGGAGAGTAGGATGACTGGGGCAAGGGGCATGGGAGCAGAAGAAAAGGATGGGGAGAGAGCAAGTGACCCGAACTCTGCCGAAGACGACATACTTCCCGTCACACTGCCGGACATGTCAATGATGAGGGTCAAGCAGAACGACAAGACAGAATAGGGCAAGTGAAAGACAGCAGGGGATTTGGGGATGGGGAGACAGGGAGGGAGAGAGGAAGGGATGGATGGATGGATGGATGGATGGATGGAGGGAGGGAGGGGAGGACCTGAGGAGCCTTATCCAATGTGATGTAGAATTGCGATGAGTTGCTATTCTTTCCGCTGTTTGCCATCGCCACAACACCTTCATCCTCCAATCACTCCTGAACCTCTCTTCCTCCTGCTCCTCTCCTCTCCTCTTCCCTCCCCTCCTCTGCTCTCCTCTCCTCTTCCTCCTCTTCCCCTCCTCTCAAGCTTGTCCACCTGCCCTGTCGTGCTTGAGCTTCATCCCGTCCTTCTCGTCGTTGAACTTCTTGCCGTAGATTGATTCCCCTCCGGAACCTGCCGTCTTCTCACCCTCCTCCTACAAGACAATCTTTCCTCTTTCCTCCTTCCTCCCAGACCAATCCGCTCCTTCCCTGCCCCTCCCTCCTCCCCTCCTTCGAGTTTCCTTGGTTGCGAGCTCGTGCTCACATGCGTTCCACCTCCTTTCTTCTCCTCTTCCTTACTCCCCTTCCTCCCCTCACCATCGAATCGCGTCACGTCTCCTCCTTGGCACACGAATCCTGCAGAACGTCCTTAACCTTCTCCTCCTCCCGAACAAAAACATTGTTCACCCGTCTGAATGCGATGGAAGGGACAACCCTGAAGGTGGGAATGGAGCAGTGAGGGGGAAAAAAGAGGAGAAAGGAAGGAAGAAAGGACGGAAGGGACGGAGGGAGGGGAGAAGGAGAGAGAGAAGGTAAGGAACCAAGGGAAGGAGAGAAAAGGAGAAAGACGTGAATACAACATGCAAATGAGTGCCAGAAGAACGGGAAGAGGAAGAGGAAGAGGAAGAGGAAGAGGAAGAGGAAGAGGAAGAGGAAGAGGAAGAGGAAGAGGAAGAGGAAGACGAAGAGGACAGGGATCGTGAGGAGGAGAAACGAGGGAGAGAGAGTATGAGAGGAGGAGGGAGACTTGCAGAAGTAAGAGGAGTTGGAGGAAGTTAGCGATGGCGGGGGGGGGGGG